ATAGAAATGTACTCCTTGTTGATCATCATCCATGGTGACTGCATGGGGGCGTGGGAACAAGTCATGTTTTGATTATTCCTATAGTATATTTTAATTATTTAGATTTGAGTTCTCTAGAGTTATTGGAGAGTGAGGTAGGCTTTTGGATTCATTTCCTGCTATGATTACTCCCGAACACATGTTGGTCGTATTCTGAATAAATATAGTTGATCAGGTTATATTTATCCCTAATATGACTACATAACTGCCCAGGTTTAATCATAGTGTTCAGTTTCCTCCAGAAGCTGTTATTAAGTATTGTTAGGTTACTATTCTAATTTACGCACATAAGTGTGAAAATTTTGTTTTATTCAGAGTTATTTAGTCCCATTGTGTTTATAGTTGCATATAATGTATGGTTAGATATGCTAGTTCACTATAAACATTGCTCTGATACCAACCTGTCACACCCCCGAACCAGACGGCGGAAACGTCCGGGGGCTCGTGTGACTAACAATTGAATTATCATCACAATGAATATACATGAAATATAACACATTCATCACCAACATTACATATAACAACCAGCATTGTTCACATCAAGTACATTGTTATAAATTACATAAGTTCAAAGTATTAATGGTACCATGAGCGAGGTTACATAAAATAAAACCATGCATACTTGAAAATCTTCCTGCTTAACGATTACCTGAGAATACAAGTTATTTTGAAAACGGTCAACATATATAATGTTGGTGAGTTTATAAGTATGTTTGGATAAAAGTCTTTGTATCTTTTGTAAAAACACAGAAAATCCGATATTTTCTGTAAAATGTCTGAAAATGATGTGAAAATCAAGTATAGATGCATGTGTGAATTTCGTAGTAGTAACGTATATGAATGTAGTTTAGATTTCTTTGTATTGTAAGTAAGTGATAACTGAATAATAGTATTTCCCCAGAAAATCCGATATTTTCTGATTTATAATAATGTCGAGGTTCTCTATATGAGCCGTTATAATCATACATGATAATGACTAGGTTGCCTGTCTTAACATTTTTCCAAATGCCGGTATTTGCTCAAGGTTTTGTCGCCCTAGACTGGCCTAATCTTGTTGTAGCGAACAGCTAAGGCGTGGGGGGTCACCCCGTATAGATCTATACACAAACTCTCGCTCTCCCTCTAGGAGACTCTAATTATAACTACAAGCTACGACTGTACACTCAAGGTGCCACCCGACATGTCTCACAAGATTCTCAACCCTTCGTACTATGTTTAATGTTTACATGTATGTTATGCATTATCCATCCAAGGGTACATTTATACGTATACAAAGTTCAATAGTTATGTAAAGGTATAGTTACAATCTACTAAGCATGTGAATTTCAGTCCAAGCTCAATTAGCATATAAATGGGTCACAAAGGCCCATTAACATGTAAGTGGGTAATTTGGGCCCAATAGGCATGTATGTGGACCACCAAGGCCCAACAAACATTTGACCCATAGTTCAGGCCCAGATTAACATGTAAGTGGGTCGCAAGGCCCAATAAACATGTCATGGAAAATATTGGGCTCAATATACACTTAAATGGGCCCTTAAAGCCCATTGGCCATGTAACGTGAATATTAGGTCCAATAAATTTGTAATCGTTGTATTACGTCCATTTGTTATTATTTCATTATTTGTTTTAGTTCGAGATTTACTGAATTGAATATAAAAATTCCTCTTTTGTGAAAACGACGTTCTTGGTCCATAAGTTTCAAAATTTTCAATTAAGGCCCAAAATTTTGTAAAAATGACACTTTAGTCCATAATTTGTGAAAATTTGTGATTTTGTCCCAATGTCTAGAAATTCACGGTTTTAGTCCAAAAATATATATTTTGACATTTAAGGCCCAGTTTTACAGAAAATTGCATTTTCAAAAATTTACACTTTCGGCCCAATTTTGATAAAAGTTACATTTTTGGTCCAATTTAAAAATAATCGTTATTTTCACCCCTAAATTTGGTTTCTTTACATTTTTTATTCAAACTTTGGCCAAATAACATTTTTAATCCCAAAACTACATTTTTTTCGCAAATTTGGGCCGAAACCGTGAAGCCCAAGTGTTTGGCCCATTAAGCTCAAATTTACATTTTTGGCCCTTTGGAAAGTATGTTTAACATAAAAATCCCTTTTTATACACGTAGGACCTGTTTGGTCCCTATGAGTACATAAATGTCACTTTTTGCCCTTATCTTTTGTTTGGAAGAGTGTGTGTGTGTGTGTGTGTGTGTGCTTAGCTCTCGGCCGAGATATCAAGAAGAGAGGGGAGAGAAGGATGAGGTGACTTTGCATGGAAATATGTGAGACCATGCATTGTTTCATGGTGAACAATATGGAGGTGGCACCTCCAAAGTCAACCCCCCTCCATTTCATTTTTCATTTTTTTAGTTAAATGGTGTTGGGCCGAGAGTTTGGGCCAAAAAGGTAGGAATGGAATAGTTTGAGCCCAATAAACTTCAGTTAGGATTTTTGGAACCTAATCATAAAATTTTCGGCCCATTGGGCCCTTGGAAACACTTACGGCCCTAATAGAATAAAATAATGGGTTTATGGCTCACAAAGGTTAATTGGATTAGCTATGGCCCCAATAAGGCTCATTAGGGTTAGAATGAATCATTCTAGGCCCAAATGGTCCAAAATGTTATAGATTTGTGAATTTGGTCCATTTAGAATCCAAATAGGGTTTCCAAGCCCATAATAGTTGAATTGGATGCTTATTGGTCCATCAGGCCCAACAAGGAAATCCTAGTCTAATATGGACTCAAACCGGGATTCTTAATGTTTTTTCAGACTCTTTGATGAACATGAAAGGTGAATTTAAATGAGCACTGAGAGATATTTGCTTAGAGTATATGTTTTACAATAGTTGAATGATTACACGAGAATAGAATTTCCTAGCTAAAATGCTAGTTGTGACACCAAATCTGCAACAATAGAAATACTCTATTTTAAAATAGGCATAAATAAAAGTTTTAAAATATCCATAAAAATGGGGATGTCACATATGTTATCCACCGGAACCAGATCCCAGTAGTTGTTGATAGCAGCACACACCTCCCGAGCGACTAAACAATTCAGTAAGAGATAGGGCTCTGTCTCTAACAAAATGTTGCAAAGGGGACATAAATAGGACCCGATAGATACCCTAATTTTCTAAAGATTACTACGAGTAGGAAGTATTTCAAGAATAGATCTCCACACAAATATATTAACTTTACCAGGAAAGATTCTGTTCCAAAGAGTACTGTCCTGAAGACATGCCAGAAGATGGTCATCGATAATTTTCCTATATGACACCATAGTAAAACATCCTTATTTGTCTTCAATCCACTTCCAATTTTTATCCTGAAAAAAAAATAAACTGTTAAGGTTGACCTGATTACACATCAGGTACAAGTGAAGATGGTTGATGGCACCCTAAGTTCCTCCTATTCTAGCAACAGCCCTGGTGCGCCCAATCCCACCATTAGTCCCATGTAATGACATAATGACATCATGTTGTATTCCTCTATTATCATTTCTAAGACCGCCACCACCACTTAGCAAGTAAGGCATAGTTGAACGCTTTGAGACTACCAATGCCTAACCCACCATTATCCCTCGAGTTAATAACTTTCTTCCAGACTGCCCAACGAATTTTATTTTTATCTGAAGAACCACCCCAGAAAAACCTACACTTGATACTCTCAAGACGGTTAATAACACCACTTGGGGCTTTAAAAAGAGAGAACAAGTATGAACCCATGGTACCGAGAACCGCCTTGCAAAGAACAAGCATACCCTCAAAGGAAAGATTTCGAGATTTCCAATTTGAGATTTTATTGTTAAATTTATCGATTAAATACACCCAATTTGATTTTCGGCTCATACTAGATCCAACCGGAGTACCAATGTAGATGAAAGGAAACTCACCAACACTACAATTTAACCAATTCACCATATCACCAATTTGAGTGTTACTAACACCAATCCCATAAACCTTACTTTTTGAAAGATTAACTTTGAGGCCAGAGTCAAGATAAAAACACCTGAGAGTCCTCAAAAGATTAGAAGCATTCTCCTTTGACCACTCTCCCAAAAAATAACATCATCCGCATATTGAAAAAAAAAAGATGGTGGGTCCACTGTTCGGAAGAGTTACCCCTTTATATATACCTTTTTCCATGGCCTATGATATAGCAATGTTTAAAGCTTCGACAATAATGATAAATAGGAAATAGGAGATATGATCTCCCTGTCTAACTCCCCTTTGAAGCTTGAACTCCTTAGTAGGATTGTCATTAACAAGGATAGAAACTTTAGCTGAGTTTAAACAAGCAAATAACCATTTAATCCACCTATTATCAAATCCCATGAGATGAAGAATATTGTCTAAAAACTTCCAACTAATGTTGTCAAAAGCCTTCATCGAGCTATAATCGCCAATACTAAGGGGGTCTTTAACTTTCAGCGCCAATGTGATGATGAGGCGTTGCTTCCATGATAATCGCATGATCCTCAAAATATATCGCATGATCCTCAAAATATTTCAAGGCTTCAAAAATGTCTGGACTATGTTTAATATTTGGTGTCTGAAAATGGGTTGTGATAACCCTCTGAAAATTTTTGAGAACTTATTTGCTTGTTAAAAACTTTTGGATTCTTCCGCACTCTGTTTAAAATGGTTTTGAAAACCTATTTAAGCCGTTTAGAATCACTATTTCAAACTAGCCAATATAAATGAGTATAATTAGTGTTTTAATTTTCCATTCCATAATTAGATTAATTGTTTACTTTTACAATTAGATATTAATTAATATACCCTTATAAACACAAAATATTTTTGTTTTAAATTTGTTCGGGCTATTTCAATTTCTTTAAAGTTCATTCTGGATGAGTGAGGGAGGGAAGGAGAGAGACTGGGAGACTTAGTTTAAGAGGATGACTTAAAAGACGCTTAAATTATTATGATTTCTATTAATAAGCTCCCTCGAAGAGAAACATGATTACAAATACAAGTATATGTACATATATGACCTTTTTCTTATTTTTGAAATAAAAATTTAACCGACCTCCAATATAACAATGCAACAAGAACTTCTAAAACACCAACAAAGAATTCTTGATATCATAACCCATCTTTTCTAAATTAGGGTTGATTGCGAACTGAATCATGGGTGGTGGTCCACAAGCCAAAGCCAATGTATCTTCAGAAACCTCTGGAATATGTTCTCTCATTATATCCTCAGTGATGAACCCTTCACTGTATTTCCACCCTTCTCTTATCGACTTAGCAACAACATACCACACCTTCACCCTTTCTCCGTACTTATCTGCCCATGCATCTAGTTCTTCCCTCAACAATATGTCATCTTCCGTACGATTTGCATACACCACATACATCTCTGTATCATCCTCCGGATCCTTCAAGATCGCTTGCATCACTTGATATATCGGTGTGATCCCCGTTCCTCCTGCAAACATGGCTAATTTCCTGGCAAACTTTTGTTTGCCATGAACTGAAAATGTCCCCCTGCCCATGTACTCGATGTGACCCAATGGACCTTTGATTTCCAATGAAGAACCTATTGTCATCGACTCTAGATATTGCGACATGATTCCTCCATTTGGAAACTTAGGTTCAACACCTTTGAAGTAGATTTTAACTAGCAACTCGAAGTAGCCAACTTCATCAATGGTGCTTGTTGGTGTGTATGCCCTCATACACAACTTATCATCAACGGTGGCGCATACAAAGATGTGTTTCCCTACCGGTAACCCAAGAACTTGATCTGATGATGGGAGAGCAAACCGGAATAGCCTCACGTCATGAGAAACAGATGTTTTTGAAACGAGTTTGCATGGGATCTTTTCACGAGGGACTAAGGCTACGTTTCTTGTGGGTGCAATTTCTTTGATGGTGGCTAAATGTGACGTGATGTAATTGGTGGCACCATGGACGGAGTTATTTGGTGATGATGCAGCAGAATCCGAACTGTAACCCATCGTTATGAGCTCACCGATTCTGTACTCCTCCAACAGTTTCTTGGCTTTGTCTGAATGGATTGCATCAAACTCTTCTGTGCAATCAGTTCCAGCATTGATGAGTATGCTGTCACTGCCACCTGGATGATCTTTCAGGAAGGAAGTGCAGTCATAGATGTGGCCATGGACGACGATCCATGCAGAGTCAGCGGAGTTGTGTTTCTTGATTTCAGACATGGTGAAGGTTAAAGAAGTGGTGTTCATGAATGGAGATGATACACTCTTCTTGAGAGTTGGGTTTGCTAATTCTGATGAAATCTCAAGGTGTTTCTCACGTGCCATCCATCCACCGGACTGGTTTCCTGGTTGTGTTGGGTGCTCGAATACAATACCAATCTCGCCTTTATGTGGTTTGCACATGTTGGTCTTCACTCGGAACCAACAGTTGTTCATCATACCCTGCATAAATTTAATGTAATTATTAGCTATTTTGCATGATGAATGAAATAAGTTGTTCCCTTAATTTTGATATTTGTTTGACTTCAAACATAGATTTAATTATAAACGACAAAATCCAGAATAATATATATATATATATATATATATATATATATATATATATTTTCATTAATTTATCAATTTAAGTACACTAATTTTCATTATATTTGAACAAAATAAACAAAAATATGATATATATTTCATCATTTTTTTATTTAAATATCTAAGTATTTTTTTTTTTCTTAGATTGAGCTATTAAGACTTGTTGATATTATAATAAAAATATATTGACAGTTTGGTTACGAAATTGATATAATAATGAAAATATATTTATCTTCTGTATTTTAATTTTAAGTAAATTTTATAGAATGGAAAAATGATTTTAGAGTATTAAAAGAATATAATGCTTTAATAACTATAGCAAAATACATTATGATTTTCTTGTTTTTTTATGATGAGATTGTAAGTGTGTTTATTTAATTGTTTGATGATTATTAAAAGATAATACCATAGTTAATGTTCTACACGTATATATAATTCGCATTTGGCACGAAAACTATTTATGGGGTGTACAATGAAGATGCTATTATGCTAAAGAACCGAGTCAAAAAGGAAACCTTTAAAAGAGAAAAACGAAAAGGTCATCCTAAGAACAACCACAAATATCTCGTGACGCCATAGAATTCCAATGAGGTAATAATATAACGAATCCTATCTATTTATTTACTATTTTTTTGGTGTAAAAAAAGATAATGGTCGACAAGTATCTCCTATGTCCTATGTATGCATATATAAACGACAAAAAAATATTAATCAAGATGGGAACTCCACATTTAAAAACAATTAGAGAGTCTTAACTATAAAAAAAATAGTAAAGTATCTTCATTATCTTGCTACTTTAATTTGTTTCAGTTACAATATTATGTTTTGTAGTGTATACTGTTTAATTTTTTATTCATTTTGTATAAATTAATTAAAACCCAAAAAGAAAATATAAATATATGATGAAAAAGTAGAGTAAAGTAGGTTACCATTAGATTCCAAATAAGCTTGTCTGGTTGGGTGTTGAGTGTCTCATCCCATGCTCGTACCGCTATCTCTTTGGCACCAAGAAGGTCCAAAACTTCAACTTCTAGCGACCAAAAACACCAACACCAATATTTGGCGTATCTTGTTGGCTTCTCTTTATGATCCAATGTACAAACATTCCAAGTCTCTCCTCCATCCATTGTTACTTCGACACGTGTCACTTTCTTCCCACCTCCTGTGAACCAACCAATTCAATTTACTTAATTAATTAATCAAACTCAATCCTATATATCCTAAACCCTTGGAGAGTGGAGACTAATATATTGTTTGACTTTTCAAATTAATATATTAAGTCATCTTGTCTATGATGTTTTAACTTAAAGCGTGTTTTTTTTGTTTATGAAAAAGAAAAAAATAAACTATATAGAGATGTTACTTTATTTAGTATTATACCACTTGGTGCTTTTAAATATAGAATTACTTATTAGTGCTATAAGTACCCTAATTAGAATAATCAACTAGTTAATAGCTTAACTAAGTCAAAATATTCCTTTTTATCACGAAAAGTGGTATTTGCAACTTGCAAGTTGTCATCCCCATGTGAAGTGTGCTTTTTACTGTAGAAACAGTATTTATAAATTCAGTGTCCCTTAAACAAAGTTTTATTATTTAATTATTTCTTAAAATATCTTTTAATTTAAAAAAACATAAAAATTAGAATCAACTAAAGTTAACAAATTAAAATCAAGATTACTAAATACAAAGTATATGGTGGCCCGAGGCTATAAAAAACAATTGATGTCTTATTATTTTTATAAAAATGTAATATAAAACTAAAGTAGATGTGATTCTTTTGCGAACGTAACAAGTGGTAATTATTGAATAATTCAAACACGGAATCTCATTAAATATCTTTTAATGCGACATTAGAAATTTCGTATATGTTGCTTGAAAGTATTTTTAAAGGGAAAAGTAATATCGAAATGTCAAGTGAGAGATTAAAAAAAAAACATTAATTTAAATTTATTACCTGAATATGCATAGCCTCTCAAGGTGTAAGGTCTTTGAGTAGTCCATGAATTTATGGGCAAAATCTCTTCGTGACAAGGTGTTGTAATCACCGAGTTTATGTTGAGCTCGTTGATGATGTATTCTGGCTTATACCACCAACCTAATTCATATCAAAATCATAATCAAATTAATAATCAAAATCATAAAATAAATGATTTATTGATATTGATATGCATGAATTTATGACAAACTCATCAGAAACTGATTCTATATGAATCATTAATTTTTGGATCCAGAAGTGTACGTCATGTAACTGATGTGACAGACTCATATCATATTCACATTCATATTCACAAACATCATCATCATCTTTTTCAAGATGTGATACACAGTTGGGTATCAATATACGTATAAAATACTGTATATATGAATTACCTTCGGAGTTGGCTAACTCCGCATCCACATGCGACGGCAACACACGGTTGTCTTTGAAGTGGTAATAATTCTCCGACTCCGGCGTCGTTACTATGATACGCTTCAACCACTTCACCATCCTACCACCGATGCATCCCGGAATAATCATCCTCACCGGGAATCCATGATCAGGCAACAGCTTTTCCCCGTTTTGCATGTAAGCCAATATGATATCCCTCGCCGGATCCATTGCAACCTCAATCTTTATGCTGGTCCCGTATTTTGAACCACCGCCGCCAGGGAGATCCTCCGCCCCCTCAAAGCACACGTTGAGTGCGCCTTTCTTCCGGCTGTAAATCCCACATCTTTTCAAGATGCTGACCAATGGCACCCCTTTCCAAACCGAAGTCGATATCCCGGCAGCGCCCCAGTTGAACCCTATGGTTTGTTTTGTTAGATTCTGCTCTTTCCGGCGGTTTCCGGCGCAGACTAACGACACCGGAAACTCCCTGCTGGGAAACTCGTTGACAAGCTGAGTCATGCTGAAACGCGCAGGTCGTTTAACTAAACCACATATCTCCACCGTCCAATCTTCCCAGCTGGCGTTCGGGACTGGACCATGGTTGCGGACGTAATGAAGAGGAGCAGGAGTGATGAACCCATGTTGCATGAGCTTAGTCAAAGGTGGCTCGGAGTTGAACGGGTGTTTTCCGGTGAGTCGAACCATTGATGGGTTGCGCTCGATCCATTGATCCGCAGTGCCCTGATCTCTTGAATCAAAAACGGAGCTTTCCAACTCGGAGTTGGACTTTTTAATGGCATCACGATAGTGTCCTTCATCTTCCTCATCCTCACTAGAATCGTAAGTCTCAGGGGGGAGCTTCTTAGGCGTCATAAACTCTCTAGCAGCAGCGGGATAGTTGTATCCACGGATGGGTGAATCAGAACGCCGGTGGTTAGGACTGAAAGAACGAACAACTCCAGCGGCGGATACACCAAGTTCGTGGCGAAACTGGCGGTTTTCGACGGAGGCCGCCATAGATTTCGTTGGGAAAAGCTTGGATTTAGTTGTTCAGCTTCCCAGTTGCTTGTGTATCCAATGTGCTGAGGAAAGTGAGACACAAGGTTGCCTTAATCAACACTCATACGTGTGTGTATATATATACAATGAAGGAAACCATGTACTAGTAATATAAAATCCGGGGGATTTGTTTATTGTAAAGAAATAGTGACGTAAAAAAGAGTCATTTATTTAATTGAAAAACAAATAATATTTACAAGATCCACATCTTTTGAAAGAGGGAGACGTGTGGACGTTGGGAGTTTAAAGCAGCCCTTGGGAGAAAAAGGAGGTAAATGAGCGAGCCACAGCTAGAATTGGGGATGCAACCACTTGAAGTTGAGAAAAACAAAAAACAAATATTAGGGGGGCAAAGATCGACGGAGACCACATATGGTGTAACAGTACTAGATTGCATTTCCAACCTTTCTGCAACCTTTTGACTCCTAAATACAAAAGGTTTACTGTGATTAAAACAAGTTTAATTATTAATTAAATATTGAGAAAGTTACAAATATGGCTATTTTTTTTACTAATTTCCAAACAATAACTCATTTTTTTTTGTCAAAATACCTTAAACACCATATTTTTTTCGTAGACGAATCTACGAAAAGTTTTGTCATCTGCAAAATCATTAAAACTACGTAGTTGGTGATTTTTGTAGATTGTATATCTTTTCGTAGATATATAAAAAAACAGTTTTCTTTTTTTATTTTGGAAAAAAATAAAATAGAAAATCTCTAGAAAACATTCTCAAACACATAGTTCAATTGATCTTTTACTGAATAACATGTTTTCATTAGAAGTTTTTTTGAATGTTTTTTTCTTTCAGCTCAATTTTTTGTTGAGGAAAAAAGTAATTTTTTGTAGATATCAAATAAAAAATAACATTTCTTTGCAGAAAAAAATTGACTCGGAAAGTCATTTTTGCAGATGTCATTTACAAAAATCGCTTTTTCATTAAATATTTTGAAAGAAATCTCATTTTTGCATGTAGAATATGTGAAAATGGTATTCTTAGTCATTTTTATGCTAAGAAATATCATTTCTCATATAGCATCCCAGTTAAATTTTTGTTGAAAAATGTCATTTTCATATATAACATATGTGAAAATGACATTTCTAAATCAAAATTTTTATTGAGAAATGATATCTACGAATAATAAAATATCGTATTTTACTAAGTTTTAAGACATTCATGTTGTTACAAATCTAAGAAAAAATAGTTTTTGAAAGTCCCTACAAACACGATGGTTAAATAAGTGAGGATGAACCTGAAATATATGACAGTTTTAAATGAATATACACAAAATGTATTATTTAAACAGGTTAACAAATATGAAGCAAATATACTCTTTCAACATTTATCATGGGTCATACGAGAATAGATAAATAGGGTTATGAAGATTAAGGATATTTGTGTAATTTTTAAATTAAAATGCACTTAGTGTATAAATATTAGAATTACTAAGTACATTTTTAGGTTGATGACAACCTAAGTGGAATTGTGTTGGAAGCTAATCTTTTATATGAGTTGTTTTCGACGAAGAAATAGATATTCATTCATGTATTTTGTTTAGTACCAGCTATATAATACATGTAATAATATATTTGTATGAAAATATAAAATACAATGGCTTAAATATATTTAATGGTGTAACTTAAATGCATTCAATGATATTAATTAGAGATCCATCTAGTACCCAACTATTATCATTTACGACAAGGGAAATCTCCGGAAAAGTCCCAATATTTTACCCTAATTTACGAAAAAATCTCAAACTAAAATCTGTTTACGAAAAAGTCCCAATTACTGGTAAAAATGACGATTTGACCCATTTTTCCCGGTTTCATTACTTACGCGGTTTTAATAAAGTCTCATTATTTTACCATAATTTACGAATAAGTCCCAAATTATTGTAAAATAATGAGACTTTAATGAAAATTATGGTAAAATAATGGAACTTTAATGAAACTGGGTAAGTATTGAAACCGATAAATGGGAAAAAAGGGTCAAATTGTCATTTTTCCGGTAATCAAGACTTTTTCATAAGTCAATTTTAGTTTGGGACTTTTTCGTAAATTAGGGTGAAATATTAGGACTTTTCCGAAGATTTCCCTTACCACAATATCAAAGATCTATATAAAAGGTGTAAATAACTTAAAGTTTTATACCACAGCTCCTTTAAAAATATAAACATTTATTTCATGTCAAAAATGGCTTCCACTTCTTCTCCATCAAACGACTAATCATAAATTGCCCATAAGTTTGACTTCCACCACCTCTGATGATGATATACTTAGAGCCTAGAGGATATCTGATGAGTTGAAGAAGGATGTAATGGCCAAAGAAGAAGAAGAAGTTGATAAGCACATTATCAACATTTGTATAGAAAATGATGATATTGCAAAAAAATACGACCAAACCACAAAAATGGATAAAAGAAACAAAACTATAAATCAAGAAAACTGAATAGTAAAAAAATCTCTTGCATGGCAAGAAAACGGGGTAATTAATGGTTGGGATGAACGGGATGATTGGGAAACAAACATAGGTTAACAAAGAAAAAATTTATCGTTGATTTTTCGCAATGATAGACTTTAGATTATGAATTGTATTGTATGGTTTAGTATGTTGTGTTTTTTAGTATAACTAGTAGATGTTGAATAGCATGTTAATAAGTATTATGGTATGTTTTATTTATCATTATGCTCTTTTTGTCTTCTTCAAATAAACTTTGTTATGTATTTAGGAACTATGGATATAAGCACACCAGAAAGTTTCAAGAGTATTATACGGACAAAGAAAATCATAGCAACAATCTGTAACACTCCAAATCAGGTAAACCATTCTAACCCTTTTAAATGATTTAGTTAGCAAAAATGGTCCCTTTTTGTATGTTGGGCGTACCTAAATGTACGCTTAGCGTACTATGGAGGAAGGATCGCGAAGGAGTATTGAGTACGCGGGGCATACATGTAGGTACGCGGGGCGTACACGACAGAGGACCAAAACCTAATTCCGGACTTAACACCTATTTAAGCATCCTTAAGTCATTGGGACTTAACCCTAATCCGCGTCTAGAGCCTCATTTTGTCCCTTTACATCAATTTTCCTTTGAGAGTGTGATTTTGGAGCATAAAAGTGTGTTGATGGCCATTTTAGAGCTTATTCAAGAAGAATAAGTTAGTGAGCAAGCTTGGTGTGGCATTGGGCTTCAAGATCCTGCATCTAGTTCACCTTGAGGAGCTTCTGGAGGTATAAAGTCTTAATCTTGCCATCTTATTCATTAGATTGAGCTAGGGTTTTCAATGTTGTCCCCTTTTGTGTTCATGAATCATCTTTTGGGAGTTTGAGCAACTCCATAGCTTAGGAAGAGTAGATCTGAGGTCCCTTTGTTCATTAGTACCATAAAATTGTAGTCTTGATGGGTTTTTTGACCTCATGCATGAGTTAAGACCCATGGAAAGGTCTTAATGGGTTATAAAGGGTTGTTGGGAGCTTATGGAGCATGCAAAGGCATAAAGTTGCCAACTTTATGCCTTAGGACGTCTTAATGGACTCAGATCTAAAGTTGGCCGTCGAAATCCCAAGTATTAAGCACTTAATTGTCAAATGTGCACATCTTGCTTGTACACCGTGCGTAAATTCACGTATGCAGTGCGTACTACTTGAAGGGGTAGTACGCTGAACGTACTGGAGTGGTACGTAGGGCGTACGCACTCCAGTTGGGCTTTAGGCTTCGTGAGGGATTTGTAAGCCCTTTGGGCCTTATTTAGTTTTAGGCCTGGTCATATTTTAGGTTAGTGGTCCGATTTATATGTTCTGGGCCATGGTTGTTTTGGTTGGGCCTTATTGGGCCATGTGGCCCATTAATAGTTTTGGACATGGACTTTGGGCCCATTAGCAAAGGAAGACTCTTGGGCCATTATGAAAGGACTTGGGTACTTGGGTTCTTTAATTAGATTATAATTAATCCTCATTTTGGGTTAATGATATTATTGTTCAGCGCGGGTGGTTTCAGACTGTTAGGCGAGCAGCTTTTGAGTTCAGCAGACTAAGGTGAGTCTCCTCACCATACCAATGGGCTAAGGCACCAAGGCCGGCCCATTCAGTTAGTTGTAGTGTTTAATGTGGATTCACTACTCATATGTCTGGTATGCATGCATATGGGAATGTGCTAATATTTTATTGACTAGATATGTAAAGACCCCGGGGGGAGCCCGTGGCAGTTGGATACAAGACCATGTGGGGGAGCCCATGACATTCCATGTAAAGACCATGGGGGGCATGGAAAGTAGTTAAGAGCAAGTGGGGGAGCCAATGACACATATGTATAAGACCCTGGGGGAGCCCACATCCTCCTGGAGTAAGACTCTAGAGGGAGTCCATCGTATCCCTATATGTTTATATATGTGTTATGTAGTATGATAGTTATTTCTGTGATATATGATATGCTAGTTGACTTTGTGTTATTTGCATGGAAGACCCCGGGGGAGCCCGTGGCAGTCGGATATCATACCATGTGGGGGAGCCCATGGCATCCTAGGTAAAGACCATGGGGAGAGCCCATGGCATGTAGGTATAAGATGTGACAACACGTTATTTTCTTCTTGAAAAGTCAACCCTAGTCAATCAAAGTCAAACTTGGGTCAACTAAAATCAACTAAAATCTTATTCCATCTTAAATGCGTTAGATTAATATTTTATAAGTGGTTACACCTTGTATTCAAGGTGTTATTGTTGGATATAGTGTCTAAGTCCATAACTATATTTGGTATGTACTTGACCCGACCCGGCATGGTCCTTTTAGGTTGCACTTCACCCGAACAATTTATGGATAATCGTTTGAGAATAGTATAAGTTATGATTTATTAATATATTATAAGTCCTAATATATTAATATAAAATCATATTATTTAATTAGTGTTGATCTATAATTAATTTAGAATTAATTTAGAGATCAAAAGTATGACTAATTAAATATGGGCTATTGTATTTATATAGTGTGGGCTAATGCTTATTTGGAATGGGCTAGGCTTGCATGGAAAGTCCATGGATACTCCATGGAGCTTTAACCCATG